TTGCTGGTTTCTTCATTTGTTGCTGTTGACAGGTATCCACTTTCAGGATTGTCTTTCAGCTCTGAAATGCTTAGAGTTATTACTTTTTATCATCAAAAGCAGTGGAGCAGATTTACGTAAGGTATTATCCACAGCAATTTTACTTTGATTAAAATTATTCTCTTTTTATAAGATACTAGCAGATGAGCCTGGCATTGTCCAGGCAAAAATAACGACAAAGGTTAAGATTATTAGATTATTTCTACTTCTAATCCTTCTATTATATTATACAAGTTCGGACAAATGCACTGCATATTTCACTGACCATGCGACTGCGCTGCATGGTTACCTATCTCGTATATGTAGTCGTCTTGCCCCTTGCTACCCGCTGATACCAAAAATATAATTTATGTGAATGTTTAACAGAATAATATACAGCCTATGTCCACCCTGAAGGTCCATTCTAAATATTGGAGAAAGAATTTTTGAAATTGGATGAGTAGTTTCAGAGATTACCTCCTACATCCAAACTTACAAACTTTACCTCTTTATAATATTAGTATAGATTTTATGATGACAGGTTGCCCAATATTTTATTTTTAATTTTTTAAACAAACTTATTTTTGATATGCTTACTTTGATTGTCTACCAAACAAGAACTATTTGACCAAGAATTATAAGATTTTTACATGTGTTCATACTAAAGATGAGGACTTTAAATGCAAAAACAATGTGTTGATTGAAGCACCAGTTCTGTCAGACCACTAACTTTTCAAACATACCAAATAGTCATTTATTGATATATACTTTTCAGGGGAACTGAAAAAAACATGCAAGTGAAACTACTTTTGAATTTCTTTCAGAGTGAATGTATCAATAGTTATCACAAAAGTATGGTGTAGGACAAATTAACACTGTACAACTTGTACTGTACATGTAATTCTTAACAAATATACTATATATTTATTAAATACTAACTGAGAGTGTTAACATTTAATTTGTACACAGTATCAATTTACCCAATCTTGACTTTTTGAAAATGATTACAGGCATATTCTTGCCTCTTGGCTAATATTAATAAAATGTGGTGATGATACATTAATTGTATTGAATTTAAACTGATTTTGTATCTGATATTTACTGTTTATATATACTAAAAATTGGCTTTTGCCAAAGCCAGTAAACTATAATTGAAGTGCTTTATAATGGAGAAAAAATTGCATGGAAAATATTTAATGTATAATTGCAAAAAAATGTACAACTGAGAATCATATAGGAAATCCTTATTAATTTGAACTTGGATAGCTCGAAATCCTGTTAGTTTGTAAATGTATTTTTGTTTTGGTTGGGAATATTGAGATTTACACATTAAGGAATTTGATTAGTTTGAAATACAGCTGCTTCAAAATTTGAAGGGAAAATTCTGTTCTAACTGTGATATAACTGTTAACTCTCTCGTTTAGATTGAAGTGTCTCCATGCTATAAGAGAACAATAGACCAAGAACAAGTCTAATCTGGTCAATATGGCTTTATTTTTAGTAATACACTTTTGAGTGTCATTTTGAGAGTAATACCCATGGACTACCCTTTTTTCTCTTATCTCATAAAATGTGGTTGGTTTTTGGGATTGCAAGATTAGGCTACAAGTTGCAGATTGAGATAGATTTGTTGACAAGTTGCAGATTTGTAGGCTCTAGGCTACTTGATTGGATGACTTACTATTTGGGACACTTAAAAAATAATTTGGGCTATATTTAGAGGAATTCTGCTTTACTTTCTGTTTAACCTATCTGGCAATCTGTAAGGTTCTTACCAGATAAGTGCTATTTACCTGCAGTTTATTTATATTATTATTATTTATTATTAATGCTTTATAAAAAACCATATTCTGTTTGCTTAATAAATTAATAAATTATATGGCATTTGGCATATTCTACAGAAATATGTAAATCTTGCATAATTTGAAGTTGTAATTATTTTGAACTAATGAGGATTTCATGTAAACAGGGTTTAACTATACATATAAATTACATTACATTTGATAATAGAATATTGATAAATAAAAAATTGAATTCATTTACTTAATTCAATAATATTTATTACAAGTTTTTTGTAATAAAAATAATAATCAATAATAATCATCATCATCAATTTATTATAATAATTAAAGGTTTAAATTAGTAGACAATTTTTAGTTCAGAAATTTTAATAAATAGCATATGTTATAAATACATAGACATATGTTATTTATTAAAATTTTTGCTTTATTTATATATATATTTTTATGATTTATATAATATATATATATATTATATAAAACTGCTTTATTTGAAGTGCCAGAAAAGACAAATATAAAATGTTTTCAGCTAATGATATAATGAAAACAAACAATTTGACTGAATTTGAAGTGATGACAAATATTTTGAAAATAATAAATTAACATTAAATAAATAAATATGCTGTAAGAACATAATGAAAAAAGTAGTTTTCATAGCATTAGTTTTATTTTTAAGCATTGTTATAACTACACACATTATTATAAATATAAAGAAATGTTTCAATTTAGTTTCTTACTATTTTCTATTTACTATTAATATTAAAGAGGAAAACAATTAAAAGTATAGAAGCCTTTTTATTTGTCATCAGTTAACAGTTTTGAATTATCCTGGCCTTATTCTCAGGATGTGTGTGGAATTATGAGAAAATTTAATATGTAATTTTAACAAGACAGAACAAATGCACAGTTTGTTTCAAAAACATTTTGAGAATTTGAGCATGAATTTGAATTCTGTACAACAGTGTTTTTTATCCTGTGGGTTGCAACCCCCAGGGAGGTTGCAAAGCCTTACACGGGGGTTGCGGGTAAAAGAAAAAGACAAGTGTTTGTAGGTCCTATACTACAATAAATAAAACTACAATTTCAGTGAGAAGTCTTTGTTTTTATTTTAAAGTACAATTGGTTTTTCAATCGATATTTAGGTCTCAACAGAAAGAAAATTAAATACATAGTTTTTAAAATCATTGATATACAGGTATACCTCGCCTTACGTCGGTAATTGGTTCCAGGAAAACGACTTAAGTTGAAAAATGACGTAAGTCGAATTTACTTGTCTCCGAATCTGCTTGTCACTAGAAAAAACCATAAATTACTATTCCCAGTTCTGTATTTTATTTATTAATGCATTTTTAATAATATANAACAAAATCCATTAAAATATAATCATAAAAGGTAATATACAATCAATAAAATATTCAATAAAAATATAAAATTTTTTTGCAATGAGATTTATAACTGATTAAAATTGAAGTATATTTTATCTTCAATTGCTTTAGCTACTTTGTGATAATGAAAAAAATAATTTTATTGTAACATTAAGACAGCAAAAATAAGTAGAAATACATGAAAGCTAACGTGTATTAACGGAGGGTGTATGGATGTTAAGATTGATGAGAAGAAAGTGAACCATTAAAGTATTTGTAAGTAAAAATATGGTTGAAATAATCTATACTCTTAAAAGTCATGTAAACCTAAACAGGATTGAGTAAATTGAGGAGAATGAATAAATGAAAATTGTGATAATTTATTGAGAAGAATGAAAATCTTACCAATTTCATTGTTGAGTTTGATTAAAAGGGTATGGGAGGCCAAAGCCCAAACCAGTGATGCATAATTGATTAACAACTGAACATTGGCAAAAAATATTACACGTAAGATGTTTTTATCAGATACATTTTTGAGATTATACCAAAGCATTCTTTGGCTATGGATACTTTTTTGATCATATTATCAATATGCAATTTAAAGTTAAGTTTAGGGTCAAATGTAATGCCAAGATCAAGTATAGAATTCACAAAGTTTAGTGGCTGAGTTTCAATACAAAAATTAATGTTAATACTGTAGGAGATCTGACAAGACTGTCATGATTTTAGTTTTTTCAGTATTTAATAAAAGGTTCAGTAATCTGACAGCGATTAGTGATTTTGATGTCAATAGTGTAGGCATTGATAAATGAGGAAGGTATAAGGGAAAGTGATCTGTTTAAATATGCAATGAAAAATAGAGTACTAAGAATACAACCTTGAGAAATGCTGATCAAAGGGGAAAATTGCTGAGAAAAGAAGTCTGAAATTTTTATTTTACATGTGTGCATTATGAAATAATTATTAAGCCAAGACAAAATATGATTATCAATATCAAATTCAAAAGATAATTTTTCAAGCAGTATAATCAATATGATGGAATCAAAGGCTTTGGTGATGATAAAAGACCAATTAAATTAAAAAGTCACTTAATTCAATTATTTTAAATTGCCTTGCATTTTATCACAAAGCTTATTAAATTGAGGTTCAATTTTTCAAACAGAAATCTGGCCAACTATCTTGTAACATATTGATAGTTGGCCAGATTTCTTTTGAAAAATGTAATAGGTTTTTCAATGTACTTTGAATGAGTTGTTTCAAGTCTAGCTTGCTAGGTTTCACTACAAAGTATACAAAATGGTTGATGCTCATCATTCATTTTCTTACATAAAAATTTGTATTTTAGAAATTCTTCAATATTTTTTTCTTTTATTACAGTTGTTGAGTCTTTGGATAATTTAGTTATTATTTTTAACATATTTCTAATATTAGTAATGTATTTTTCTGTATTGGTTTTCTTTGCGAATGGTATAAATTTTTAATCCTGTTGTTTTTGATAATTTATTGGTCTATATTTCTAGATAAGATGATAACATAAATGTCATATATACATCATCATATATACACATATATCATCACAAAAACTACTTTTTTTTGTTATTTAATATAGTTAAAAATCTTCATTATTACATGCATGTAGATCAGCAATACAGATGAAACTAGATTTACACCAATCAATAAATTTGATTGGTGTAAATTGGTTGGTGTAAATTTGATTGGTGAAAATTATGCATTTTCATTTACAGTAATATCCCGAACTTACGCGATAGGTGGGTACTAATATAAACTATTAATTTTTATTTTTGTATCTGTTTTAAAGGATTAAATAATGGCATCAAAAGATGGATATATGTTAAGTGGAATATGCCCTGATAAACAGTGCCAGACAAAACTATTTTTTCCTCTTTATGCTTCAAGTATAGAATGTACACAGTGTGGTCAGCATCATGAACGATCTGTATTACAACAAGTTCAAGAAGTTTCAAATCCAGAAATTGCTCTGCAAAGGATGTTAAAAAATGTAATTGTTAGTACTGTACCTAAGAAAGGTGCTGAAATGGTTAAAGTATTAGGACTCTCAAATTATCATTGTAAACTTTTATCACCTTTGTTAACAGTTTATGGAATGAATAAAAGTACTGGAAAAGCAAAACTACTTAGTGATATGAATCAAGGAAAATATTTTGATTGTAGTGTTTTAGGGAATAGAACATTTCTAATTGATCCAGAACACATATCTATTGTTGGTTATGGAAGAGATATTTCAGGAAGTGTTCAGTATTTGTCTGGAACTTTGGAATTGGTTAAAGATTATAATGATGGAGAAGAAAGATTGATTCCAGTTCATGCTGATGGAGATGGACATTGTTTAGTTCATGCAATATCTAGGGCTTTAATTGGAAGAGAACTTTTTTGGCATCCATTGAGATGCAATTTAAAGAGGCATTTTGAAGAAAACTTACAAAAATATAAGGTAAGTTTATTACTTTAATAAATATTATAAATAAATAAAGATTAGTTTAAAGATTTTTTTGTAAGTAAGCATAGTATAAATTTATAAAAAAATTGAATGAATAAAACTTTTTAGATGATAAACTTTCATCTAAATACATTAAAACAACCCAAATAATTCAATAAATCTAAATAACTATTATTAGATTACATTCAGATATAATATGGCTAATTAATGACCAAAGAGGATAATTTAACTGAAAGGTAGGCAGTTATGCTACCAAAATGGTAGTGGTTTATAGTCTTTTTTCCATAATTCCATTCAAACATTAATAAATTTTCACAACCTTAACATTGAATCTATACATAAGGAATTATTTTTAAAAATTTTTAGTTTACATTTTATTTCTAACCTTTTTGTTCAAAAATAATAAACATAAAAATTTATTATATAAAAAAATTACAGGCAATGTCTTTTTACAATAATGGCAGCCATTATTGTCAAATATAACCCCTTTATAACAACAAAATTATAACAAAATCCATTAAAATATAATCATAAAAGGTAATATACAATCAATAAAATATTCAATAAAAATATAAAATTTTTTTGCAATGAGATTTATAACTGATTAAAATTGAAGTATATTTTATCTTCAATTGCTTTAGCTACTTTGTGATAATGAAAAAAATAATTTTATTGTAACATTAAGACAGCAAAAATAAGTAGAAATACATGAAAGCTAACGTGTATTAACGGAGGGTGTATGGATGTTAAGATTGATGAGAAGAAAGTGAACCATTAAAGTATTTGTAAGTAAAAATATGGTTGAAATAATCTATACTCTTAAAAGTCATGTAAACCTAAACAGGATTGAGTAAATTGAGGAGAATGAATAAATGAAAATTGTGATAATTTATTGAGAAGAATGAAAATCTTACCAATTTCATTGTTGAGTTTGATTAAAAGGGTATGGGAGGCCAAAGCCCAAACCAGTGATGCATAATTGATTAACAACTGAACATTGGCAAAAAATATTACACGTAAGATGTTTTTATCAGATACATTTTTGAGATTATACCAAAGCATTCTTTGGCTATGGATACTTTTTTGATCATATTATCAATATGCAATTTAAAGTTAAGTTTAGGGTCAAATGTAATGCCAAGATCAAGTATAGAATTCACAAAGTTTAGTGGCTGAGTTTCAATACAAAAATTAATGTTAATACTGTAGGAGATCTGACAAGACTGTCATGATTTTAGTTTTTTCAGTATTTAATAAAAGGTTCAGTAATCTGACAGCGATTAGTGATTTTGATGTCAATAGTGTAGGCATTGATAAATGAGGAAGGTATAAGGGAAAGTGATCTGTTTAAATATGCAATGAAAAATAGAGTACTAAGAATACAACCTTGAGAAATGCTGATCAAAGGGGAAAATTGCTGAGAAAAGAAGTCTGAAATTTTTATTTTACATGTGTGCATTATGAAATAATTATTAAGCCAAGACAAAATATGATTATCAATATCAAATTCAAAAGATAATTTTTCAAGCAGTATAATCAATATGATGGAATCAAAGGCTTTGGTGATGATAAAAGACCAATTAAATTAAAAAGTCACTTAATTCAATTATTTTAAATTGCCTTGCATTTTATCACAAAGCTTATTAAATTGAGGTTCAATTTTTCAAACAGAAATCTGGCCAACTATCTTGTAACATATTGATAGTTGGCCAGATTTCTTTTGAAAAATGTAATAGGTTTTTCAATGTACTTTGAATGAGTTGTTTCAAGTCTAGCTTGCTAGGTTTCACTACAAAGTATACAAAATGGTTGATGCTCATCATTCATTTTCTTACATAAAAATTTGTATTTTAGAAATTCTTCAATATTTTTTTCTTTTATTACAGTTGTTGAGTCTTTGGATAATTTAGTTATTATTTTTAACATATTTCTAATATTAGTAATGTATTTTTCTGTATTGGTTTTCTTTGCGAATGGTATAAATTTTTAATCCTGTTGTTTTTGATAATTTATTGGTCTATATTTCTAGATAAGATGATAACATAAATGTCATATATACATCATCATATATACACATATATCATCACAAAAACTACTTTTTTTTGTTATTTAATATAGTTAAAAATCTTCATTATTACATGCATGTAGATCAGCAATACAGATGAAACTAGATTTACACCAATCAATAAATTTGATTGGTGTAAATTGGTTGGTGTAAATTTGATTGGTGAAAATTATGCATTTTCATTTACAGTAATATCCCGAACTTATGCGATAGGTGGGACCGAGCGGTAACCGCGTAAGTCGAATTCGCGTAAGTCGGGGTATAATTTCGCATATAAATACATACAAATCATTTTTAATTGGGGCCAGAGACTAAAGAAAACAATAATTTAGAAAAAAATGTTTAATAAAATCTTAGATAATACACATTTATAACAAATTAGGCCTATATTATTTTACAATTTTTCACATTTACTTAATTATTACGCCATAATTTTAACATTGTTTCCATCTCAGCGATAATACTGTGACGTTTACGAATGATGCTTGA